ACACACACACACATCGCATTGATTTTTATTGTATGGCTTAGCACTCGTAAACTTGTCTGTACGGGTTGGTATCTACTGCATATTGGACACACCTGCTCAGGCCCTTTTGTGTTTCTTTGGTGTCAGTGTTGTGGTTTATATTCAACTACTAAGCGGAGCTGAGGTATCATTTTTCGAGAGAGAATATAATCAAATTTTAATCAAAAAAAGCCGACCATATATATATATATATATATATATATATATATATATATATATATATATATATATATATGAACAAATTGTCGCTGCCGACACTTGAGTTTGAACATAGATCGCCAGTGAGCAAACACAGGCGATCCCATTATTGAATGAAGTTGGTTACCTGACCATGGGAGAAACGTATATGCAGGTAGTGGCGTGACGTCTAAACCTACGCTTTTTCTATTTTATCCTCTGTTTACTATAAGGACCGCTATTCTCTACTCTATTCACTGTACTATTTCTCTATTCTGGTCACTATACGAATTACTATTCGAGCGAGTACTATTAGCGCGAGTGTTATTCGAAGGCGTCTGACACCAGCATTGTTCGACGGCGTTACTATATTCTCTACCACAACGAGTATTACAAAAGTGACAGCGAATATTCGTTGACATTTCAGTACATACATATATATGAGTGTGTGTGCGTTTGTGGGTGTGGCGCAGATAATCTGAAAATAAATACGTGACGTCACAGCGTAGCCACGTCTCGAGAGCGACATTACAAACTACTGGCTATTGACGTAAGAAAGGTTTTCATTGAATGGTTTAAAGCCATGTTCTACGAAAATGCAAAGGCATACGGGGCTTCAAACAAGGACAATTTCAAGACAAAACGCAAGAAGTGCTCTGGCCCAAGTTCGTCACCAACATTGCGTAGATTGTCAAGGAGCAACGCAGCAAAAGCGCGAAAAAAAGGACTTGCATTATAAATTTTTCAATAGGCGCCATTTTCTCACTGTATCACTGGTCACTTGACGTATGCTCCTCCTCTTCGCCAAACTGCAATCCTTTCAACTATTTCGTGTAGGGTTTCTTGAAGATGGAGTTGAACAGCAGACACTACAACATCAATGAGGCTCTCAAGCCAGCCATCAGAAACGCCATGACGAACATGGACAGAGACGCCATCATCAAGGCTTGCTCCAGCTTCCGGTCAAGCCTGGAGAAAGTAGTGGCCTCGATGGCGAACATATCGATTGAATTTTGCACTTTATATATTTACCTGACTGTGTAAAGTTTCATTGAAATAAATTAATTTGTTATATGAACCACACTTTAGATATGTATGTATATCTTCGATATCGTGTAGTGTCTTTGGATTATTAGCGGTGATATTGAAACGAATTCACAGATATTCGGCGTATTTAGAGGAAACTAAATGGGCATAAATTCAAAAATAGATAGATACATGTGTCCATAGATAGATAGATAGATAGATAGATAGATAGATATAAATACATAGATATGTGGATGGATGTTTATGGTCAGTGAATCAATAAACAAATGGAATTAAAGCGCCCATTTTGAAAATTGCACTGAAATACATGAAATAGTCTGTTAATGAGTAAATATTCAAAATTTATGTGTGTATATATATATATATATATATATATATATATATATATATAGAGAGAGAGAGAGAGAGAAAAAAACAGACTCGAAAAAACCCAATACGACATTTCCACAGCTATGAAGTCTTTCTTATTATATACATATGGATGAAACGATCCCACATATATTGGCGTTGGATTTATTGAAACAGATTGACGTTTTCACAAAGAAAGCATTTGAATCATTTGAAAAAGAGATAATTTTGGCTGATTGAGATACTAGAAACCGATGAAATTCAGACTTCATAATATTCCATCTGTTAAGAAAAGCAAAAGAAGGAAAAGAAAGAAAGATATGCCATCTTTTATCCGAAGATCAAGCCTTTTTCTAAAGAGTGTCGACTAATCATTCAATGACTCGTTCAATGCTGAGAATGTTCCTCCTCCTCTTCAATTGAATACAAGATCGTACTATGCCACATGTTCTACTAGAATATATATATATATATATATATATATATATATATATATATATATATATATATATATACAATTATTTATTTAAAAAAAATTATAACATAAATATGTTATAAAATCACTTCAAAAAAATAGCCATTTTGTTTCAACAACCCCAAAGTTTTATCAAGTGATGATGTTGAATGTAAAATAAAAAATAGAATAGTAATAGTAAGAATAGTAATTTTTTGGTTATTGGAATTAATTCCATATACACCAATTATATATATTAGGTATATATATATATATATATATATACATATATATATATATATATATATATATATATATATATATATATATATATATATATATATATATATATATATATATATATATACGGTATATATATATATATATATGCCAGCCCCCTAGGTTGTATTGAGCTTTTTTTAGTTTTGTTTACTGGTGTCGGGTTTTTTTTCTTTGGGCCTTAAACCTGTATCTGTGCGATTTTTCGACAGACTTTCATATTTCTAGCTCTTTCTTTTAAAACCTTTTTTTCCTCGAGATTGATTTGATTATTGGCAAATCAAAAATTCGAAGGTTTTTACCTAAATATATAGTATATATATATATATATATATATATATATATATATATATATATATATATATATAAGCACATATAATGTCTTTAATTTCTAAAATTCAGTTGTTAGGATAACACATTTGCTTGCTTCAAAGCCTGTTTTTTTATTATCATGAGAATAGATTTTCTCATTTATTTACTAATAAACTAGATAGTTGATAAGCGAAAAACGGCGAGTCTATTGTTACGGGCTGCGAACCATTGAAAACGTTTTATTTACATTATTTGATATCATTCTAGTTATGTCTTGAAATACTTGCAAATACGAAATTGGAGGAATTATTCAGATATTCCAGATTATCATACTATTGGGATAATTTTCTGAATATATTAGAGACATGTTATAAATTGATATTGAGAAAAAACCGCCAGAAATATCGAATGCGTTAGTCCAAATAAATGAAGTTTTTGTCGATGTCAACAAAGGATACAATAAAAATTCAGTCATGCAGCATATAAGTCTTACATAATCAGCTCGCATGTCAGGTTATTAAATCAAACTATTATTTTTAAAATTGGTCGGTTCATTTATTGAAATCAAAAGGAAATTAACATAGAACATAAAACCATAGGCAGACCGCATCTTTAGGAGACAGAGTTTGAAAAAAAAAATGTAAAGGTGGCGGGGGAAACAAAAATCAAGAAAAAAAGTACAAAATAAGAAAACTTTAGTCCATTAGACCGAATGTCCGAGACATTTAACTTGCTTTGTGCATTGAAAAAGATTGGAAAGACGTCTGCGTCTTTCGCTGTCGCGTTGTGGGTAAGAAGAGCGGGGCGGGGGGCAAGATGCGAAGATTAGAAGGCGGGAAAGAATCGCTGAAATTGAAAAATGCCTAATGGACAACCAGTGCCGATCCAATGACGTTTACAGGCGTCTTGTCAAAGCCGACATGTTCCCAAATAAATTCTTGGAGTCTTCCTTTTGCTTTCTTTCAATTCTTTAATGTATTTTTTTTTTTGTCTTTTAGTTTTAGTTATATTTTTCGTTTTGATTTATTTAGTAAAACTTTTCGTTCTTAAATCGATTGCCATTTTATTGTTGGTTCTTTTCCTTCTTTTTCCTTCTTTATTTCTTCCTAAATGTCTCTTTTTACTTTTTTTTTGTCGTTTTCTTTTTATCGTTTTTCTTTCCTTTCCATGTATTTACTTTTATTGGTCTTATTAAATGTTCTGTTTTTAATAGTCTTCCTACGTTTCACTCATGCTTTTTCTTTCTTTCTTTCTTCCTTTCTTTCTTTCTTTCTTTACGCATCCAGGTTTGTCTATTCTTTCCTTGTTTCTTTCTTTGTTTCTTTATACGATAAGCTTTGATTATACTTTACTTCTTTCTTTCGTTCTTTGTTTCCGCGTCCAGCTTTGTCTATTCTTTCTTTCTTTACGCGACAAGTTTTGTCTATTCCTACTTTGTTTTTTTCTTTTTTTTTGTTTATTCTTTTTTTTTTTTTCTTTCTTTCTTTCTTTCTTTCTTTCTTTTAGCGTCCAATTTTTTCTAATTTTTTACGTTGACTTTATTTACCAGCCTTTCCCAATTTGTTCTTTTCTTTCTTTCTTTCTTTCTTTCTTTCTTTCTTTCTTTCTTTCTTTTTTTCTTTCGTTTTTATCCATTTTTTACGTTGACTTTTTTCGTTCGTTCGTTTGTTCGTTCTTTCTTTCTTTCTTTCTTTCGTTCTTTTCGTTCGTTCGTTCGTTCGTTCGTTTCGTTCGTTCTTTCTTTCTTTCTTTTCCTTCTTTCTTTCTTTTCTTTTTCTTTTTCTTTTTTCTTTCTTTCTTTCTTTCGTTCTTTCTTTCTTTCTTTCTTTTCTTTCCTTCATTCGTTTTTCTTTCTTTCTTTCTTTACACGTCTGGCATTGTCTGTTCTTCCTTTCTTTCTATCTTTCTTTACGCGTTCAGTTTTGTCTATTTCTTTCTTTCTTTCTTTCTTTCTTTCTTTCTTTCTTTCTTTCCAAATCGAGCTTTGTGCGTTCATTAATCTTAATTAAGCAGCCATTTTCAATTTTTCTCGCTCTTTTTGTCTTTCTTAACAGTTGCTTTCATTTGCTTTTTTTTTTCCATTTATAATCATTCGGGTTCATTTTCACTCTCTTCTTGAATTTATTTTTTCCTTCTTTTGTATTTTTTTCTTTTAGTTTTTCTTCCCTTGTTTCTTTTTAATTTTTGCCTTTCGTCACTTCTACTTTCTTTTTTTTACGTCTCATTCATTGCAATGATCTTTTATGCAGGTTTTCATTTTCGCTATCTTTCTTTCTTTGTCTTTTTATATTTCCCCAAGGTAATTTCCATTGACGCGGCTGTCACTGAGCTTCGTTTAAGGTGATAATTACCTCCGTTCAAGAAGGGAAGCTTCAAAATCGACTACATTTGAAGAGTGACATCACTAACAAGTATACATATCTTGTAAGAGGTTGAAAGAAAAATGGACATACGTAGTTCAAGCTCAACAGTAGCTCAAACAAACACTCCCTTCAACGAAGGTATAGAGAAGAGTTTCTGCGAACGCACATGTCGAACCTTGAAGCAGATATGCTGCAGCAGAATAAGACAACACCTGATGCCATTATGTCAAATACGAACAAGAAACCCAGGCTGAAATTCACTCTCGATCATACAGGTTTCTAATGGGACATCTATATGCTAATGACAGTATCTGATGCAACTATGATGGAGGTATGGAACTATCCTTCCCTGTATTAACGGTTCATGAGGCTGCTGGAGGTGTAAGAGAATGTGGAATGGTTTCTTAACATTATTTAATTTTTTAATTTTCGCAATCACCTGGGAACTGTGAATCAATATATGACAGCGGTGTACGTACCTAATGGCAGTCACTTCCAGCACGACAGCGCATTGTGTCACAAATAAAGAAAATAGTAACAGATTGGATCAGGGAACAAAGCAATGAGTTTCGTAGAGTACATTTGGTGTGTGCTGGAATGAGTGAATGAGAACCTGATTGTACAACCAACAGATGTTGAAGAATTGCGGTATGGTATAATAATAGTATGAAGCCAAATTTATATATATATATATATATATATATATATATATATATATATATATATATATATATATAGAGAGAGAGAGAGAGAGAGAGAGAGTTAGCATCCATAATATTGTCGAAACGATGTTAAGAAGAATTGAGATCATTTTTTAATCAGTGGGTGTGCGTTGGGAGGCAACGCTGCTTGCTAAGGAAAGTATTAGTTTCTAAGCTAAGTAGCAGAGCTGAGATATGACGCAAGTGTCAGTAAGGATATTAAATCAAATAATAATAATAATAATAAATTTGTATCAGTATAAATATTGGTGCATTGTTTCCAGAGGTGTTCAAACTCTGTGGAAAAGTTTTAAGACTCTTAGAGGACAATCGTATATTCGAATTCTAACTTTCCCAAAAATGCCGAGACATAACCCAGAGAAAAAACCTGAGAAATATCCAGTTCTTGATAATATATATATATATATATATATATATATATATATATATATATATATATATATAAAAATGCTATTAGAAATGAATTATTGTTTTGTTATTTTCGGATACAACAATACATATATTTTCGTTGTCCTCTTATTACTGAGAGTAAAAAACAAGAACAACATCTATTCAATACCTGAAGATGTCTGTAGGAACAGACGAAAGCTTGTAGTAAAATAAGAACTAATGCAACAGAAATTTATAAAACAAGGATCTTTTCATTCATAACAGATTCGGGGTTTTTGTATATTATTTGAATTGTTTGCGACGATGGATTTCTCAAATTAAATCATTAACCTTTGTATTTGTTTTTTTTGTATGAATATTTCATGAATATATATATATATATATATATATATATATATATAATATAAGGTGTTTGCCAACTCGTGTCCGAGTACGGTCATTACTACATACCTTTTTGGAGAATATGTTCTGATGTGCTGAATGAATGTGGCTCTTTAGCCCAGCAAGGGACCTACATACTTTAGCACAAACAGGGCACTTAAGAGGTGCATCAGCAGGTGTTACATTATCATGCAATTTAAAATATGGCATGAAACCGCTTCTGGACCCGCATGTCTTACCGCAAATATAACCTTTTATTTGCTGGACGTCTACGGCTTTATTGCCAGTTGCCAGCCTCCGTCGGGGCGCTGTCAAATGACTCCTTAGAACAATCATCGAAAAACACACTCTACCACAATCTGTAACGTCAAATCGAGCTGCCTGTAGGTGTCTTCAGGAAGTTCAACGGGGACACCTTTACGCACATCCCTTTTAAGCCTTGCGTGCCACCTCTTCTTCTGCTCAAAGTGGCACCTTCCACTCTTGCAGCCACATTCCAATTATTGTGATCAGATGCACATTCTTCCCAGTGCTTGCAATGAATGTTGCATTTCCTCAGCGCATCCTTGATGCAGTCCTTAAAGCGCCTCTTAAGGACTCAATACTATCACAGATGCTCCTCTCTAGTACGTCTAGATTACTAACTCCCATTTGCCAGGTAATATATATTTACAATAGGAACTAACGACCGTCCATTGCTTTCTGCATTATGTTGAGTATCATTGTACAGTCAATGAATTATGAATTACTATGAATGATTATTCATATCCCCAAAATTTCTATCACACACACACACACACACACACACATATATATATATATATATATATATATATATATATATATATATATTATATATATTTAAGCAGCATATTTTCATTCAAGCATGTTTGGTTAAATAATTTAGACGTATTATATCTGCTTATTTTAATTTTAATTCTTTCAAGTCCACAAATTATTTTTTTGGTGGCTGTAGAAAATTGATTACGAAAAAGATTTTTTCAATTGTAGCATTTTAATTTAATATTTTCATATAACACTTTGCCGATACAAACATTTATGAACTTGCTATATGTTGCTATAGATGTATCAAACTTACAGCAACCGCCGTCTGTCTAACTCTCTGCATTAGTAGGGAGGAACCCAGACGAAGCTTTGCCGAAGGGCAAGGTTTCGTTCGGGGAGGTTGACAGCTCTTGAACCCGCCTAGGCGGGTTCGATGGCTATTATTTTGGCCGGGCCTACGGGCTCGGATGACCCACATTAAACTCGGCCTTGTGTCACATGCTACCCCACGTGGGGGGGCAGCTAAATATAGCTATATGTTGCTATACTCGTAGTTCACTTTATTTTGGGTTGCAATTCTCTTATATGAAGGGCTTCTAAAATTTTAAATATTTGCTTATTATTATTTTGATGAAGCACTAATATATTTTCGCCTAATATCTATCTAAACTTTGAATGTGGGCATGAGTGCCCCTTTAAATGTTCTGAGATTGAACTACGATCGTTCAGGTGAAACGTAAGCCTTCTCGTCATCGTTGCTGTTGTAAAACCAATATACCAACGTTTGTAAGACGCTAGTTGACGGAGAAGAGTTGCTATGGATGACTAGCATGGGGGTATTAAATTTAGTATGGTATATAATACTTTTATTTTTTTTTCACTTAGATCAATGGGGGATATATTAGTGTTTAAGAGTCGTTTAGAATTTTTACATCTTGCTTATTGTTAGAATGCATTTGATTACGGTATAGTAGTTTGATTTGTTTTGAGTTATTTGAAGACGTATTATGTTCATTTTTGTTTATGTCAATATATATATATATATATATATATATATATATATATATATATATATATATATATATATATATATATATATATATATATACATATATATATATATATATATATATATATATATATATATATATATATATATATTGTCTTTAGAATTGTCAAGATTTCCGACAAAATAGGTCAACAACATATTTAATTCAAATTATTTGTTAATTATTTCGCTCGACAAATACATTGCATATGTTGTAAAAATGCATTGTCCCTGACAAGGAAATATTGCGTGCAATGAGGAAGAGGAAGAGAACAGATATTATATATATATATATATATATATATATATATATATATATATATATATATATATATAATTATGATCTCTAGGGTAATTCAAGGTCAACGTCAGATCAAATTAAGAAAAATTCCATGAGAATACATAGTTAACAATCACCGACCCTATACTTTCCAATAACAAGTTTCCGAAAATCTATCCTAATTCTTGGGAAATCCGGATCGATAATGATTTGTCAATTCAGTTGGGCATAATGACATGGGAATGATTTGTATGTAATTATCGTTATTGCATGACGATTTAGCGACAATTTGTTAACTTGCCCTTCGATGTTCCGATCGAAATTAGAGGAAATATACATAATAATATTCCTATGATATTTTCTTCTTGTACTCACGCTAAGGCCGCTGATACATGATGTGAAATAACTTCGCATTTAAAAATTTTATATAACATTTTTCAAATAAATAAGGGCAGGCTACTACGTAATTAAACAAAATCTAATTAGATTTAAAATTTATAGTTACCTACTTTCTAACTGGTAGGTTTTGGTATTGGTTGAATCTTTAAAGAGAGAAGTTGTCTTTGAGTGTCTACCTTGAAAGAAGAGAAAAATAGAAATTTGTTCAGCCTGCCTGTAACTGGATAATTAAATATGGGTAAACATAGATAAACGTGCCCGCAATAAAACAGTTTCCCAAGACACCGCTATTTTAACTACGTTCGCTCTTTAGTATTGTTTATTATTTAAACAAAACGATTGTTTGAATAGTCATAATGAAAGTGAATTTATACATTTTCTTTCTTCTTGAGAATAAAAATTATAGAAACTATTTATTACGTTTTTTAGCTTACACTATTTATTTATAATATTAGTTTTTGGAATGTTTAGAAATTTCAGAATAAAAAAATCATTTATCAGTTTATTATTTTCAGAAATGGTGAAGGATAAATATTGCATTCCATTAGTTTTAATTCTGTTAATTTTCTAAAATGTTATAAATAAAAAAAATATTGTAAATAAAAGAAGAAATAGTGTTTAATATTCTTGTAAATTATCAAGAACAAAATAGTGTATAAATTCACATTCAATATGTGTTTCCATTTTATTAAAATACTAATCATCACTTTTTAAAACAATATTGTTGAAGAGTGATGGTAGTTTGAAAAGCGGTGTCATGAGAAAACAGTCCCGTTGACACTACGTCTATCCATGTTTTTCTTTACTTATCTATTTAGACACCCTGGCCCACATGAGCAAGAATCGAAGAAGTTTTAGGCCATAAAAAAATCTGAAGGATAATTCTTCTTTAAAGTGGCGCCAACTGACCAAAAGGACGAGACATTTGACCAACTAGATTGGTGTGGAAATGTCTATAAGTGCAAACTCTGGGCC